AATTACTTGTGTAGAAGAGCTGAGGAGGCTCTGAATACGGCCTTGAGCTGGGCTCAACCGAGAGGCCTCAATGTTAACCCGGCGAAGACGGAAATCTGTCTTTTCACAAGAAAGACAAAAATTTCTACATATACTGAACCTTGCTTCTTGGGCAAGAAGATACCGGTGACAGACAAAGTTAAGTACTTAGGTGTAATACTTGACCGGAAATTAAAATGGAGACACCACATAGAGGATAGGATCAACAAGGCACATCGGTGCTGGGCGATATGTAGGAGAACCATAGGCATGAAATGGGGTCTTAGTCGTACTATGACAAATTGGCTTTATAAAAGTGTAATTAGACCAATTCTAGCTTACGCTTCAATAATCTGGTGGACTGCTTTGGACAAAAAGTGTAATATCAAACTACTACAGGGAGTTCAGCGTACATGCTGCTTGGGTATAAGTGGTGCCATGTGTACTACTTCGACCAAGGCTCTGGAAACGTTGCTAGATATTCCACCCATTGAAACATATATAAGATATGAGGCGGCGCTTACAGCCGAACGGCTCTTTACTTTAGGCGAACTGGCCAAAAACGGTTATAGGACACGTCATCAATGTATACTGGACACATTGGAAGGTTATACACATTCATCGGACGTGCCTGATCGCATACCAGACACAGAATATGTCGGAAACTTTGAAACGCTAATCCCAGATAGAATGTCTTGGTCAAGCGGAACATTAGAGCAAATACCAGTAGGAATCCGTTGCTACACGGATGGCTCTAAATTAGGGGACAAAGTGGGTCTGGGGTTCTATATTGAAGACCCAGAAACAGAAATATACCACCGTTTACCTAATCATAACACAAGCTTCCAGGCAGAAGTACGAGCAATAACGGAATGTGTAAATTGGATTAGAATAAATATGGCGCCCACAGGGCTTAATATATTTACCGACAGCCAGAAGGCAATTTGTGCGATATCAGGTGATAGAATTAAATCTAAGACCGTATTGGATTGTAAGAAAGCTTTAACTGAATACTCTCCCAGAGGTAAGGTTCACATCATATGGGTACCAGGCCATTCGGGAGTAATCGGCAACGAAAGGGCGAATGTAATAGCTTTAAAGGGAAGGGAGCTCGATGTAGTTAACCTGACAAACGCAAAACCATTCGACGCAACAAAAGCTGAATTAAAAATATGGATGAGAGAATCCCATAAGGCCTCTTGGAATAATGAAACGGTGGGTAGAACCACAAAGATTCTATGGGGTGACCCTGATGAGAAATCTTCTCAAAATGAGCAAGTCTGAGGTTAGTATGATGGTACGTATTCTCAGTGGACACACAGGATTACGAGCACATCTATACTAAATTGGACGTGCGAATTCAGACGAATGTAGAGCATGTGGAGAGGACAGTGAAACTCTGGAGCACTTTCTTTGCCATTGTCAGGCATTCGTCGAAGTTAGATTCAAGTATCTTGGAAGTGATGTTATTCCGGAAATAACATTCTTAACCAACACCGATTGGAAGATTCTTAGGAATTACGTCCAGGAAACTGAGTTTCTGAACATGGAAAAATAATACATTCAGTGAACAATTTTTTTTTTTTTTTCTTGAATTGGAGCGCACAACAGGCCCGATAGTGGCCTAGGTGTATTTCTTCGGATTTGATGTAGTATACATCCTCCTATCAACCTAACCTAACCTCCAACTTTTGACGCGTCTGCAGTTGATCAGGGTTGTATTTTCTTTTGTATAGAATAAGAATAAAATAAAATAAATTTCATCTATAATGAAAGAATATATTAAAAAAATAAACAAAAAACTTAAAATTTTGATTTTTAAAACAGAAATAATCATCAATCAAAAACATTAAAAGACAAATCAAAATGAAGCGTGGTGTGTAACTTGCAGCTTGTAAAGCGCGAAAAGTTTGAAAAGCGTAAAACGCGTTGCGATTAAAAAAAATATTGGGATCATTGTTACAAGTTATAGATCTGTAGAAATACTATAGTATACTTAACAAAATTATGAAATTTAAAGCGTTATTTAGTGGTCCGCTATCAGGACTGTTGTGCGCTCCTTTTAATGGAAAAGTTTTGTTGGTAAAAAAAACCTTATATTGTATTCACTGAATGTATTATCTGATGTTCAAAAACTCAGTTCCCTGGACGTAATTCCTAAGAATTTTTCAATCAGTGTTCGTGAGGGGTGTTGTATCTGGAATAATATCACTCCCAAGATGTTTGAATTTAATTACGGGGAAAGCCTGACAATGGTTCTCTCTACATTCATCTGAATCCGTACTTCCAATTTTTTAATAGCTGTGTCCGTAATAGTGTGTGTCCACTTAGAATATGTTCCATCATAGTAACCTCAGATTTGCTGATTTTGAGAAGGCTTTTCGTCCTGCTCTCGTTAGGGTCACCCCATAGGATCTTTGAGGTTTTACCTACCGTCTCATTTTTCCAAGAGGCTTTATGGAATTCTCTTCCCATATTTTATATTCTTTAGTACAAAAAAATAATGAAACTAAAAATCAAACAAAACTTTTTGCTTCTTCAAAAGTGCGAAAGATAGAACGGCGTTTATATGTTGTCTTGGTAAACTTTCTCATGGAAAAGCGTATATTTAATATCTATGAAAATTGCTTTTATCGTGATGTACCACGTTATATTTGTTTTTGTATGGACTATATTTTCAAGACACAATCTAAAACTAATATTAAAAATAATCCAAAAGCAGCTTTTCAGTGGTATATAAAAAGGCATAAAATTCCCCAAAAATATTCAATTTGTAATGTTTTATCTGTTTACTCCACCAAGATTTTAAAACCTTCAGACTATATACAATTGCATATTGTTGTTAACTTAAAAAGTGATTAGCAACAATATTTCAATGATTTATACTTTTAAGTCTTAATGTCTAAAGTTTAATGCTAATAAGCATGATAAAGTAATAATTTTTACTATGTTTTCCCGTTAAATATGATATATAATCAGTGATCTTAATTTATTTCATCATAGATAAACTTTATCATTCATGGAATTTAATTTGGTGATATTAAAAAATAAAACGAATAAGAAAGTATTATTATATTTGTTGTTTAATAGAAGTTACTTCCTTACTTTTAATTATTTGTTTATTTAAACTAAAAACAAGATTAAAATGTCTACATTTATTTAAGATTGTTGTTATTGTAATAACTATTTATGAAATTAAATGTGTAGTTAAAAAAAAAACACTTCAAACTTTTACATTTGAAGTGTCATTAAGCCGTTAATCGATAGTCAAGTGTTGGAATTTTTTACTCGATTTTTTACAAAAGCCTTCAATGTTTGTTTTATTTATAAGTAATTAATTATTTTATACAAAGAAAATGAGAAAACTAGAACTGTTGCGCTTTAAAACAACAGATGTAAAGAATCTGTAATACGAATTTGTTTAAGTATTTTCTTTGTACTGATATTTCTATTTTTATTCATTACTATTTATGAGAATTATTGTTATTATTTTGTACTTTCATTAAATGTTTATTTAATTATTATTAAAATGTGTGGAAGCAATGTTCAAGCTGAAGTTATGCTCAGCACGATCAAAAAAGATTGCAGTATATTGCTTTTGACATTTCGGTAGTAACACAAGGAAATATTGGTCGTAGTTCCATAAAAGTTTTTACTATATATGAACATACATATGTACATATGTATATTCTGGGTCTTATAAGATTCTAAGACGATTGACGTTGGTGGGTGGGTTGGAGTTCTAGTCTGTTAGACCGGAGGTCGTGGGTTCGATTTCCGCCAAAGGTATAGGAGTGCACAACATGCCTGGTGGAGGCCTAGGTGTATTTATTCGGATTCTTTTTAACCTAACTAACTAACTAAGTAACTAACTAACTAACTAACTAACTAACTAACTAACTAACTACCGAACGAACGAACCTAACGAACTTGAACGAACGAACGTAACTAGCCGAACGAACTAACGAACGAACTAACGAACGAACGTAACTAACGAACGAACGAACGAACTAACGAACGAACTACCTAACGAACGAACGACAACGAACTAACTAACTAAACTAACTAAACTAACTAACTAAACTAACTAAACTAACTAACTAACTAACTAACGAAACTAACTAACAACTAACGACTAACTAACGAACTAACTAACTAACGACTGACCTACGAACGAAGTAAACGAACTAACTAACTAACTAACTAAGTAACTAACTAACTAAAGAACTAACTAACGGAACTAAACTACTAACTACGAACGAACTAAACGAACTAACTAACGTAACAACCTACTAGAACGAACGAACTATAACTAACGAACGAACGAACGAACGAACGTAACTAACGAACGAACTAACTAACTAACTAACTAACGAGCTAACTAACGAAGCTATTTAACTATACTAACTATTTAACTAACTAAACTATTTAACTAACTAACTAATAACTAACTAACTAACTAACTACGGCAGTAAAACATCAAAATATTGATCATAGGTCCATACAAGTTTTTACTATATAACAAACATATATTCTAGATTATACTAGATTCTAAGACGATTGACGTTGGTGGGTGGGTTAGTTCTAGTCTGCTACACTAGTTGTTTAAATACTAATTTACAATTAACACTTTTAAAAAACTGCTATACATATTTATAAACAAAATAATGCAAAATTTTATTCCTTAAAATAATTGTCACTTGTATTTTTACAGCTAAACATTTTTTATGAACTAGTTAGCGCAAAGTAGGTTACTAGAAATACTGTTAGTTTCGAACAACGAACCTAATAGATTTTTTATTTGACTTTTCTCATATGCATAAATAAACCAGTTTTAAAGAATTGTTATGACTATTTTGCTATTTGAATAACTTAAAAATATTTATACGACTAAATATACGATTAATAAAAGAGAATTATTAATAAATTATTTGATTCGAATATGTATGCATTTAAAATATTGAAGAAAATTATGTACTTACCAAAACATTAATGCTGATAATGGATTTGCGGTCTCCCGCGGATTTTCCGGTAATTCATCCGCTTTAAAAGACTGCATTTTGGCAGTTTATTTGACAGTTAAACTCGGTATTCGTTATAAAATTTTTATGATTTTTGTTTTTCCTCACTTTTTGCAAAAAAAAAAAAATCAAACAACAACAAACTGCAAAAACACGTGGTTAAGGGAGAGAGAAAGAGAGAGAGAAAAAAAAAAACAAATGGAAAATTAGATAAAATTGGCACTATGTCTTGGAGTGACTAGACAAAAAATATACATAAACATTTTTTAAAAACAATAATTGTAGTCACAAAACATTTTTCTGATTCATTAATTGTTCGAGCATAGCGATTAATCGTGCTAATATTTTTTTAACATTTTTATTATAATTATATTTTTCATTTATTTTTTTTTTTTTTTGTTTTATATTATTTTTTTTTTTAATTGTGGAATAAAATAAATTTTTATAGTTTTATTACGATTGTGTTTTATTACTTATAGTTTATAACAGTTACCAGATTTTGTTTTCAAAATTTTATGGAACTCAGTAACAATCCTAAAAGTTTGACTTTTGAAATATATTGTATGTTCTAAAATGAGACAGACCGATAAAATGATAAATAAAATCCAACTGAGGCTTAAACTATACTAAACCCGAATCTAACCTCAAAATGTCTCTATCACTTCAGGTTTTTAAGATCTCTTGGACTTAAGTTTGAAAAAAAATAATGTTCGTTTTACTATTCAATAGTAATTTTCTAACTTTTGGACATTATAAGATCTATTTCACAAAGGAAATAAGCGACTTAGGGTTCAAAATTTAATGTTAATGAAGGTAAATATTATACAATTCGAATATAAAACCGATGTTCAAAATCTTGAGGCAACCAACGAAAGCAAATATATTTTAACGTCTAACGTCATACAAATTTCATTTATTTATTTGCTTAATATAGCAGTTTTCGTGTCTAAATATTTTTCAAGTAGTTTGATAAGTACTTTTATACTAGTCCTCTTTTATAAACCACAAAAATAATAAATAATTATTTTTATTCTATTATTTATTATTAATTTTTTATATTTAACAAAATTGTTACGGTTAAACGGTGTTGGGCATGAATGAAAAACAAATTAAATGAAATTATCATTGATTAATTATACAAGTAGTGGAAATGAGTAAATACCTTTGTACATATTCTATATGAAAAAGTTCATTGTCAAGCGTTTTATCGGTGGAAAGATAAGAATGAAAGAGGATTATTATGTAAAAAGAAAAATATTGTGTTTGGTTTTATCCCAACTGTATAACTTTGAAGAAATGACATCGATATTTAATCGAATTTATACAGTGATGGACAAAAATGTAAGTACTGACCGGTATTGAATAGATTATTTATTAATTTAATAGATGTCAACTTTTCAAAATACAAAGGCCAACAAATTTGAAACTAATTCGACTGATTTATGTATTTTTAGCAGCTAAAACCTAATCTGTTATCTGCATTTCTCTATCACCCATCATTTTCTGGAAAAATGGCTTCGAATATTTTGCTCATATATTACGGACATTTTATATAATTATAAAAATATATTTACGTTTAAGGGTTAATTTAGATTAATTTAGATCGCAGGTACCGCTAATATGTGAGAGATATCGACCTAATTTCTTTACTATTTTATTCCCTTCTTTATTGTAATTTGTAAAATTTGCTTAACAAAATTGCTAAAATTTTGAAACTAGAGTTTTGAAACTGCCATCTGAGGTGTTTCCAATTTATAACTAAGCCCCAAATCCATATTCAGTACACCATACAGAACTGGGATTAGTGCAAATTATTTAAAAAGTTTTTTCATCGTTGGCCCGTGTTATTTTTTTAAAGAATCTAAATACGGAATTAAGTTTACTTTCGATTAAAATGGAATTCTGCGACAGGCAAAACTTAAGCTATGTATACACGCTTGTTAGATCTTACAATGTTGTCAGTAAAATGTGCAGAAAATGTCTAATAACAGTGTCTACTTACAAATTTTGTCTTTCAACATTGTTAGTAATTATTTTTCTGACAACGTTGCAAAAGAAAAATTGTAAGTTCACACGATTGTTGGACATTTTCTGCACATTTTACTGACAACGTTGTAATATCTGACAACCGTGTATCAGAGCTTTTAGGAAGAATTGTCCCTAACATATGTATTTCAGTTTACTGTTATTCCTGTATTATAGTATATTATTAATGTTTCAAAGCGATTCTATATTTTCTTTTGCGATTCGAAAAAGTGCAAATTTTGTATGCATCTACTACAATGACATATTTACATATATTTGTTGTTCTTCTTAATAATTTTTTTGTGTTGTTATTTGTTTAAGGAGTTGACATTTAAATTTACACACTTTGGAATAAACTCGTAATAATGGAATCTGTTTATTAAACGAAATAAATTATCGTTTATCTTTTTCATGATATTTTTTTCCACATTAACACTCTCGCTCGCTCATACACATATGCATATAAACTTATTTGCAAAATTTATAATTGTTTATTAATAATAATGTTTTTTTGCTTCGTCATTTTTGCGTTAATTTCATTAATTTTTCATCTGTAATTTTCTATTTTTTTATTATTTTTTTATTGAATTCTTAATTTATGTGTGTAGTTAAAACATACACTTTTATTTACATAATTTATTGTAATGGATTTTTTACGCACAATTTGCAAAAAAAAAAAACGAAAAAAGTGTCACACTTAATAATTTGAAAATTCCATGTGACTTTTGTCAAACCGCTTTAACAACTAAACACTTGTAGTGTTAACTTGACTCTGTCTAATGTTCTGTTTTTACCAATTATTTTTTATTTTTAAAAACAATTCCAATGTACAGCAGAGACGATGGCGAGTGAACGTTGTCGGTTGATTTGGTCATTAAATCAGAAGTTCTCTCGTATGGGCCAAACTTGTTGGTGGTTCCCAATGAGTTTTATTAGTTTCATCCAAAAATTGAAACATACTCGTTCTAGTTGTGTGCCAAATTGATATCTCTTTTTTTTATGAATTTTTTCGGCATTTGTATTGGTGTGAGTATTTCTCTTATCTGAGATTTTTAATTATGACGCCAAAATGTACATGATCATAAAAAACCAACACAAAATTGCTGTTTGGTGCACGAGTACGCGTTTGTAGTATGTAGTAAGTGCTGAGCATTCCTAATAGAGTAGAGTGTTAGCGTTATATTTTTAATTATTGCTCAATTTACACTCTTTTATATTAGACTAGCTATACCCAGTGTGCTTCGCTACCCTTATCGTAATGAAATAAAATAAATATTATTGTAAATGTATATATATCTGCAATATCAAAAAGTCCCCTATTTAAATTTATGTTTATATATTCAATATTTTAGAAAACTCAAAAAGTACCAATGAAGTACGAAAAAGTAACAAAAGACCTCTTTTATTTAATTTCATGTTCCTAAGTTCAATATTATAGAAAATTAAAAAAGTACCAGTTGAAGAACGAAAAATTACCAAAGGGTCCCCTTTTATAGATTCTCATTAACTCCGGGCTCCACATGGTTAATTTCATGTTATAAAAAACACAAAAAGTACCTTTTGAAGAACGAAAAATTACCAAAAAGTCCTCTTTTATATGTTCTCACTTACTCCGGGCTCTACGTACTTAATTTCATGTTTCTAGCTTCAATATTATAGAAAATTCAAAAAGTACCTTTTGAAGAACGAAAAAGTGCCGAAAAGTCCCCTTTTATAGGTTATCACTTAATCTTGGCTGCACTTGCTTAATTTCATGTTTCTAGGTTCAATATTATAGAAAATTCAAAAAGTACCTTTTGAAGAACGAAAAAGTACCAAAAAGTCCCCTCTTATAGATTATCATTTACTCCAGGCTCTATATGCTTAATTTCATGCTTCTAGGATCAATATTATAGAAAATTCAAAAAGTACCTTTTGAAGAACGAAAAAGTACCAAAAAGTCCCCTTTTATAGATTCTCATTTACTCCAGGCTCTACATGCTTAATTTCATGCTTCTAGGATCAATATTATAGAAAATTCAAAAAGTACCTTTTGAAGAACGAAAAAGTACCAAAAAGTCCACTTTTATAGGTCCTCACTTAATTCGGGCTCTACATGTTTAATTTCATGTTTCTAGGTTCAATATTATAGAAAATTCAAAAAGTACCAGTCGAAGGACGAAAAAGTACCAAAAAGTCCCCTTTTATAGTTTCTCACTTAATCCAGGCTCTACATGCATACTTTCATGTTTCTATTTTCAATATTATAGAAAATTCATAAAGTACCTTTTGAAGAACGCAAAAGTACTAAAAAGTCCCCTTTTATAGATTCTCATTAACTAAGGCCTCCACATGCTTAATTTCATGTTTCTAGGTTAAATTTTATAGAAAACTCAAAAAGTACCAGTCGAAAGACGAAAAAGTACCAAAAAGTCCCCTTTTATAGATTCTCATTTACTAAGGGCTCTACATGCTTAATTTCATGTTTCTAGGTTAAATTTTATAGAAAACTCAAAAAGTACCAGTCGAAGGACGAAAAAGTACCAAAAAGTCCCCTTTTATAGATTCTCATTTACCAACGGCTCTACATGCTTAATTTCATGTTTCTAGGTTAAATTTTATAGAAAACTCAAAAAGTACCAGTCGAAGGACGAAAAAGTACCAAAAAGTCCCCTATTATAGATTCTCATTTACTCTGGGCTCTACATGCTTAATTTCATGTTTCTAGGTTAAATTTTATAGAAAACTCAAAAAGTACCAGTCGAAGGACGAAAAAGTACCAAAAAGTCCCCTTTTATAGATTCTCATTTACCAACGGCTCTACATGCTTAAATTCATGTTTCTAGGTTAAATTTTATAGAAAACTCAAAAAGTACCAGTCGAAAGACGAAAAAGTTCCAAAAAGTCCCCTTTTATAGGTTCTCATTTACTCCGGGCTCTACATGCTTAATTTCATGTTTCTAGGTTAAATTTTATAGAAAACTCAAAAAGTATCAGTCGAAAGACGAAAAAGTACCAAAAAGTCCACTTTTATAGATTCTCATTTACTAAGGGCTCTACATGCTTAATTTCATGTTTCTAGGGTAAATTTTATAGAAAACTCAAAAAGTACCAGTCGAAGGACGAAAAAGTACCAAAA